TACATTGATAAGCTGATTAATGTTACTGCGAACAGAACCAAATATCGAATACTTCGATAAGCATAGAATTTGAGTAGGTTAAGCTACATAGTATAAGAATATTACGGTTGTTACTTAATTATGTGACAAAATTGTTTGACAGAGAGTCACTTTCTGAATATGTGGACTGATTTTGTATACCCTCAACACAAATGTGTAAAGAGGGTATAATGTATTTGTGCAAATGTATGTAACAGGCAAAAGGAAGCATCTTCGACCACATAAAGTATATATATTCTTGATCAGCATCAAGCCATGTTCGTCTGTCTGTCCGTCCACACACACACATTCATGGGCGTCTTCTTTGAATTCTATCAACAGCATTGCAATTGCGATTGGATTGTTTTGTGTGCTGATATTTTACTATTTCAATAATTGGTGTGGCTGTTGGGTAGAGGCGGCGGCAAGTAGCGCGGTTAGTTGCGAGTTCGAACCCTGCCAAGGAAACGTTTTTTTTTTTAATTTAGCTTTATTACTAAAGCAAACGAGCGCGTAGCGCGAACTGCATTTGGTGTTGGAAGAAGAGGGTTAAGGTATCCTATAGTCGGGAGCTCCCGACTAGAACCTCTTACTTGTTTTAACCTGAATTCAGCGATAAATGCTTGAAAAGGGTAACATTTTTCTTTTCATCTGTAACACACCGCGAGTACCATCTGCGACTTCATAAAGTGTGGTTATTTTTTATCGATCTCGGAAACTAAAAGAGCTATATAGCTGAAATATGTATTCCTTTTTTTTTGCAATGTCTCCTCATATTTCATAATATCAATAAATATTATATCATATGTATATGGGTTTCTAAATTTTAGTAGCTATATTGACTAAACTTTGTTTGTAGATTCTTGTACAGTTACGCTGATTAATAAGAGATCCGTTTTTGGACACGTCCCCCAATTTACTAAAATTTGATATAAGAAAAAAAATATTTTTAATTTCGTGCGTATAGAAACATTTGGGTAGAAAACATTTATAAATTTCGGTCAAAGCTAATCAAAATATCATTGCTCTTAAGTAAAACGTAGACGCAAGTAGTTGCAGCATTTGAAAAAGAATGGTATCATAAAATCACTGGCACTCACCTACTCTTATCTCCAATAAGAGACTCATTCAATATCCCGTTCTCTGAACGCGGCGCACTCATTGATAACTTTGGACACAAATATTATCATTGTAAATGCGCCGCCTCACGGTGGGGCGTTAGTTTCCTGCTGTGCTGCCGTCTTAGTATAGGGAGACGCAGCGACCGGGTGAAACAGCTTCATATTTGATTGGGTGCAGAGCGAGCGAGCGTCGATGGCGACGACGACGACGACGACGACAACGCTAAACAAATGCGCGCAATCAGCGCAGGCGGCGCTTCGTCCATTAGGCCAGATAAAAAGCTTAATTGCCGGGCCCGACAACGCCCAGCGGGTGACCACTGTGACCAGTCTGTGATTATAATGTTTGTTGTTGTTGTAACGGTTTGGCTTCGCTTGCTCGACCCTTGCCAAATGATTTGATTACGTTTTGATTAACGCGTTGCACTTTCCGCTGCGGCTCGTTTTGCATGCAGCACCACCTGTGGCTACCTGCAGGCGCATCAGGGCTAATTAATAAAGATACGAGGGCGCCACGGCAACTGCCACAGCATCGGCGTCGGCGTCGGCGTGGGCCGCACTGTAATTAAATACGCGTAATTAATTGCAGAGACAATCGATTTGACATTTGAGATAAAATACTTGGCTGCTGTAAAAATTTGCATTCATATGGCAATGCATTTATCAATGCGAACATACATGCACATACATGTTATTAATGTGTTTACAATTAAATAATGTATTTGATCTGCAGAGCTAATAAAGTGTCATCAAAGCTTGTTTAAATTTCTTAACAAACTTAACTTTAAGACTAAATGAAATTCTAATTCGCTAAGAGCAAACTTCTTATTAAGCTACGAATTTTAACTTCAAAATGCTTAAATCAATAGTTAATACACAGTATATTATAGCCGGAAATGCTCACTTTGTTATAATTTAAAATTAATGACAGTCTTAATAAATGGAAACGCTACTGTAAAAAATGTGGACGCATTTCGCTTATCAGCACCAAAATGGCAAATAATATTTAAATTTATTTATTGAGCTCAGGCGACTACACAAACATGTACGTAAGCATATACTTATTTACGTATGTATGTATGCATTCATTTGCCTGCATCTGTTAACGAATGGCAAAATAAAATAAATCAAAATAACAAAATTTTGACAAGCTTCGACTTGAACGCTGCTTCGAACGGCGCGTTATTTCCATTTGTAATTAAATTAATTGGGGTTTAATTCAGTGCGATAAGAACAGCAATAATAACAACAACAACAATTAACGCTCACACATTGTCAACAAGAAATAAATAAATAAATAAACCTATAGCAGGTTGCTAGCCGAGTCTGTTATTGAACCCGTCTGACACTCGACAAATAGCATAGAAATAAAAATTACAATTTGATAATCACTCAATTCCCTACTGCTACATCTGCTAATAATGATCTGAATGATCATCATTGAGGTTCTAGTGCCAGTGCTTAACCTCCATATAAGTAAGTAGTTGCGAATGATTGACGGCAATAGTCCGGGTAAACAAGAGTACGCATACGCCATGTGCGCCAGCCGAAGCGTTCCCTCCACAGGCCCTCGCCTGATTAATTAAATATTAATTGATCGCCGATAAGCACGCGCTGGCGCTTTTTCATTTCGCACTTGACTGACTGATTGTGATTGTGAAATACGAGCGATTGATTAAAAGTATTTAAGCAGCAGCAACAGCATCAAACAAAATAATAATCATCCAGGAATTATATAGATTCTGTAGCAAGGTTCATGCAACTAAGCTAAAGGCAAGAGCATGACCCGATTATATCATTGTCTTACACCTAAGAATAATCTCGTTAAATTATATAGCGTTTTCTGTCGTAAGGGAATGCATGCACTTTACATAATTAAATCCCAATAGTTGAATGAATAATATGAATCATTTATTAATTATGTATTCTTCTACTATTACTTACTCAATTTTGTTATTAATATTTCGAATGGGTTAAAATTTATAATGATGACCTGTTCCTCTACACCCAGAGATATGCGGAAAATATTAAAAGTCCTTCACGGTATAACTTTGGAGATTTTACACTATCAAGTAGGTTATCTTGGACTGTTTGTTCTTTTAACACATACGTATGCATTAAGTAAATGACAAGTTGGCATTTAATTAGAGCTACAAGTCACATAAGCTGGTAGTTAATCAGTGTCAATCATTGTGGCTAATAATCCACAAAGCAAAAGCGATCAAGGCTGGCAAGATTGAGTTGAGATAACTGACATATCTTCTACCATCAACTGAGCCCCAGAGTTACAACTTTGGCAAACTTCTACTCACAAACCTTTTTGATGCTATAATTATGTTTTGGGTATTTATGGTCTTGTATCCAACCAAAGATGTGCCATTATATATACTAATCTAGATAAGCTTAAAGTAGTTGGCTACTGGAGTATTCAAAGCGTAATATTATTAAGTAAAAAGTAAATTTATTTATGTGCAAGGCACTTTTGTACAGTAATTTACAGAGGCCGACCTAAAATATGTATTGTCGACAAACAAAATTAATTTTTTTTTTTTTTTTGTTTATTGTATTGAATCAAAAATAGCATACATTTTTATTACAACACAGTTGACTTAGGTGATATTACGCCAAGCCTGGTTGGGTCCTCAGGCTTTATCGTGGACAAACGTCAAAGGCGGCTTTTTGAGTAAGGCTGCATCGTCACGTAGGTAGTCGGAGGACTACGGGGCGTCTCCTATGTCGTGGTTGGAGGAGGTCCTTGAACGATCTTCTCTTGAGCCTCCTGACTACACACCTCCCAGCGAGGTCTCTTGCTACCCGGCTGCAGTGTCGCTGCAAGCGTTCGCTGTACCGGTTGGCGAATGCTCCGACTTGGCTGTCTATGGTCTCCATTTTGAGGTCTTTTAATTAATGGCAGGATATAATTGACACCAATTCCTCACAAGATTCCCATACAAACCCAAATTTATATTTTTCAACTTTTTTTTGTTCTGAAAACATGAACACTATTAAAATCGGATTTTCCATATTCAGTTGAAGGGTATCATCACGTCTACCAATGATTCTGAAATATTCGTGATCCCATTTTGCGCTAGTTTAATAAATTTCATAATTTGTCCTTCATAAGTTGAATGTCGTGCATCTATATCTGCACCGAACCCAGTTAAATCGATTTAGTAAAGAAGCTTTATAAAATAGTGATCAGATATGGCTGATTTCAAGATGATTTGATGTTTGAGGTAAATTCATTCATTGCCTGTTAACAGAGATCACATCGTATATTAACCTGCAGATAAGTAAGATGATGAACTTGAACCAATCAACTCATCTGATCGTAAAAATAAAAAACTAGAATAACCTCTGCAAGGGCAGATTTCGGCATAAACAAATTATAGGAAAATTTAATAATCTCTTGCCATGTTGCGTGCTGGAAAAACCCCAATTGAAAACAAATTCTCATTAAATTTTTCGTATAATTATATATTTTTCCACTGATTTTTGTTGATTTTTTTTCTTTTCTTTTTTGTTTTTTTTTTCTTTTTGGGAATTTTGTTTTATGATTTAAGTGTAAACGACTACAGAGGATTAACACTATATGGTAGTATTTAAATGAATGTATGAGCTATGTATAGGGCTGCATATTATATTATATTTAATTTATAATTAACGGCATAGTTATAGCTGTTTAGTTAAGTTCCTTATAAGTATTTTTTAAATACATGCGTTCTTTTAACTAGACTTATAATGCAAATTACAATACAATCAAATATCATTTAGGGCTTAAGCTTCCGACGTTTTGTTTATTTATTGACTTGAGTTTTACAAATAAATTATTCCAATTTTTTTATGTTTTTATTTGGTTTTTTTTTTTTTTTTTTTTTAATGTCTATATTACAGTTTAACAAACAGCAAATACTTTTAAACGCAAATTGGCTCTTCAGAATTGTTAATTGGGTTACTTGCTAGATTTATGTACAATTAGGAAACATTCTCGCTTGCTTTTGTTTAGATATATACAGAGTTCGGTATCGGATCTATCGAGAACCGGCTATCTCTCTCTCTCTCTCTCTCTCAGCTTTTTTTCTCTATGCTTACAGTATTTACAGAGTGCATTTTACAAAAACATTTGGAAGTATCGTAAATAAAATGCGCTAACATCACAGCAAAATTTTGGGGGTTTTGAAGCAAGCACAACATTTGTGGGTGTGCTGGCTGGGCGTGGCTCAGTTATTTGGTTGTCATTCTGGCTGCTCGTGCGGCTGGTGCGTCAGCTATTTATAAGCGCACACCAACTTGGCCGCTACTTATCCCAGATGCATCAGGCTCGGGTGAAAGTAGCCGGCCATGGCCCATTGTGCTCCAGGGGCACCGCGGCCCAGCGCCGCCATTTTGATCTTCTCGATTTCTGCTTCCTGCAGCCGCTTGGCCTTGGCGCGCCGATTTTGAAACCAAATCTTCACCTGCGTCTCGGTGAGCCGCAGCGACGATGAGAACTCGGCGCGCTCCGCTATGCTCAGATACTGCTTCTCCCGGAACTTCTTCTCCAGCGAGAGCAGCTGCTGTGTGGTGAAGGGCGTGCGCGGCTTGCGGTTGGGTTTATGTTTGCGCAGATTGCATTTGATACGAGGCGGCTCATTGGCATCTAAAAGAAGAAGACAGAGGAGAGAGAGTGTTGATTAGTCGTCTGTAGGCATAAGTAAATTTAAATGATTGCTTAGTTAAGAGGAAAGTGTTGATTAGCCTGTTCCGCGATCTGTGGCCAATTAAAAGCAACTAAATCCGCAGCATTTGCATACAATTGAAGCGCTGAATGAGATGCTGTCAGCAGTCGTCGTCTGTCTGCTGCTGTTGTCCTTGGCCTTGTCATGGCTAAAAGCGGCAGCAACAACAAACCGAACAACGGCAACGTCTACAGCAAACGGTAATTACTCCTTTAAGTGGCCAATAAATTTGCTGTCTAAACTATTTGTCAGACAAAGCAGCAGCAGCCGCAGCCGCTGAGTCGCAGCAGTCGCAGTTGCAGCAGCAGCGACGGGAAATGCAATGTCCCCAGTTCGATTCTCTGTTGGCTGCAAAACAATTTTAATTTGGGCATTTTGTTTTGGCAAACAAAGACCGCAGCAGCGACGACGAGGATGAGGACGCGGCTGGGCAGCAGGAAAAAACCAAAGGAAAAAAAATGCAAAAAAAAGCGTGCATGCCTTATAAAGCAACCGCATGGAGTTGACGCTGTGCGGGGCAGGGTTAGGGCAGCCGCTGATGCAGCTGCTCCAGCATCGTGCGCCTGTGGCATTCACTTGGAGTGTTGTTAATGAAAGTAATGAGCCTGCCATTGGGGCTGCCAGCGCCAAGCCACAAAGTTGCAAATGGCATTTTAAAGATGCATCCCCGGGTCAGCTTTGGCAGGGAGTATACTCTCAATAGTATCAAGTACTATATAGCCATGTGTCGTATCTCTTGTGCCAGAATCGTCCAGTCGCCAGTCTCAAGTCGCCAGTCTGCAGGCGCAGGCACGCGTAATTTATGGAGCATTTCGTATTGCGGGCCAGGAATCAAAATAAAGGTCCATGCAAATGATATGCAACGCTTTAATTTTATGCATAATTACACAAATTGAAATTTTTGAGTGACAAACCGAAAATTGTTGTCATCTTCTTCTTCAACTCATTCTCGTTGCATTGTAATTGCTTTTTATGCTTTGATGGCAGGCAGCGCAAATGAGGCGTTAAACAACAACAAGAAATGAGTAACCCGGCCGAGACCAGATGGGCCATCCGCACAGAAACTCTACGAATGATCATCATATGAGCTGCTGCAACTACCATTTGCTCAGCCGACAACAAGTCTGCCACATACCAGAACTTGATGCCTGTGTTCACACACATTCATTTTGTGTCAGGTTGTGTTATCAATAAACAAATAAATGTCAAAGTTGCCTGTCCATAAAAAACTCAAATGTCTGGCACATTCGTTCGGACGTAGAGCTTCGATCGGCTCTGGCTTTCATAATAAAAGTAATAATGCCAGCGAAGTCTCGCAGCAAACAGCATCTACATATGCATCTGCGACTGCATCTGAATCTGGATCTGGATCTGCATTGGGCTGATCAGCTCATTAAGTAATTAGTGTGACATGTCAAAGTTATGTTAATGTGCCAAGCTCGATCGTTCAGATTACGGGCCTTATCTGCCTACTGCCTGATCCCTGCTGCTTCGGGCATAATAAGTATATGCATATTATTTCATTTATTTGTGTGTCTTGTGCTGAATGCAGTCTCGTAAAAGCGTTTTGTATGGCCTAACAAGGTGAAACGAAATGTGAAAAGCCCCGATAATATTGATAATCATTATAATAACGATCATGATGATGTTGCTGTTGCTGTGGATGCGCCTCAGCAGCAGCAAGAAATTTGTAACAGACTTCAAGACGCGGCAGCATGCATCTATAAATATACATATAAATATATTGTATATTTTGAATGTTTTTTGTTCGTTTTTTTGTCTCGTGCATTTCTGATTCTGTTTTGTACATAGTTAATTTTATTATTATTTTTTGTTGTTTTGTATTATTTATTGTTGTTTTTGCTGTTGTTGTCGCTCTTGTTGTGATGGCCATAAATTAGTTGCCAAATTAGCATATAAACGATGCGGTCAAGTTTTACAGCTTTGGCTGCCTTTGTCACATGTCTTTTGGCTCGTATCATAATTTTCTATAATATCTGGCTTTTGGCGTATACTTGGGTATAATTATTTTGACAGTCAGCAGTGTTTCTATTAGACAGCAATATTACCACAAAATTAATCGTAAATATGTAGAAGAGTATGCTCTGTACACATCTGGTAATTAAATTACACTTTTCTAAGCCAGTTTTGCGCTTTGCATTTATTTCAAAATTAATTGGTCATTTGTCGCTAAATTGCTGGAATGGGGTTTCGGTTTCCAATGCAGGCCAAAGCAAAAACTTTAGCAAGTGGAATAGCTGCGACCCCCCATACACCCCGCACCGTACACGGATTAACTGAACCAATGGCTTGGCCCGCCGCCTGTTGCACAAATAACCTGCAACAGATCCATTTGACTGAACAGATCGGAGACGGGGACGCAAGGGAACAGGCTGGAGACGAAGACAACGCACGTCCAAACCAGAGTGCGAGACTTGTTTTCGCCTTTTTGTGCTTTTATAGGCATTGTTGTTGCCATTGTTGTTGCTGTTACTGTTGCTGTTGCTATTGCTGGCTGTTGCTGGGGCAATACGTCGCCAGCGTCGCCATCGCCATTGCCAGAGCAAATACATGCCACAAACGCCAATTGTGACATTTAGCCTATGTTTGTAATGGATTTTCAATTAATTTGAGTTCTCCGGTGTATTGTAGACGACGACATATAAGACTCGATCAGCAACAACAACAGCAACACAAACAAGCAGCAATTGTGAAATTTACGCGTATCGATCGCATAGGCAATCGCCCATGGAGGCCTCTATGGCAGTTCGTATGCCCAGGCCTAGGCCTATGGGCCGTAGCGATACGACACGACACGACAACGCTGACAACGGTGGATTGATTTGCGCTGCAAATTGCTGGCAATTAATTCTTCATTAAAGCGTTTTCGCATAGCCAAATAGGCAGCAGGTACGACCAAGGGGGGCTCCGGTGTTTCAGTAAGCGTTTTTGTAGTGAAAAGCATTTTGCAATCGATTGGAGCAAAAGCGAATCGAACGTTTGGCTAATGCAATTACACGCTTACGGTCAAACGAGCACTGCTTCGGGGACCCCATGCCAATCCTGGTGTTGCCGCTGCCGCTGTTGCTGCTGATTTCATAATGAAGGATTTTAATTAGCACCAAATATGTAGGTGAGTGAGGTGCGCAAAGTACCAAATTAGCTTCAGCTGAAAAATGCGTTTGGGGGAGAATTATGCACAGCAACAGGCGATGAGGATTTCAGATTAGTTCAACGAATGACGAGAACCATATATATATGACATATGACCCAGCTGGGAAATGAATAGATATATTGAGGCATCATACATTTATATCTTGTACAGTGCACAGTTAAATAAAGTCGTGTATTAATAAGAAGAATGCATAAATCGGGCTAGAAACGGTCATTAAGTGAGTTTAACCAAAGTAATTCTGTATGAGACGTTGCTGGAGTACAGTAAGAGTGAATTTATATTGTTAAAAAGTCAGAAACGCTGCATTATGCATATAAACAAATTGGACATAGTGCAGCAGTTGAGTAGTACGCATAGTAGGTGCCCATGAATGGTATGTAAATGGAAGATTATCTAATATTATTGGGTGTATTTGTAAGCAGGCAGATTAAATCGGTCAGCTTAATGTCATGCAGAATAAAAATATAAAAACTGAGTAAGTGAGCACATAAAAAATGCACTTAAAAGTTATTATGGAGGATAGTTGACAGCAACTGTGGGAAATGAATGGAAGCGGTTAAGAAAATGTCACAACCCAGTCAAGTACAAATTAACTAAATGACCATGGAGGACATATAGCAGCAGTTATGTTGTCGGTTGCATTAGTAAATGATAAAAATGAATGGAAATGGGCCAAGAAAAGTATAACATTTTGAAAGCGGAGGACCATGCTCGTTATTTTTAAGTTTTAATACCTTCTGATGCGTATTTCCAATATGCAAACCTGATTGCTAGGCGTTCGAGGAGTTCATGAGAACCGGCCCATTAGAGCCTATTAATTAGCAAAGAGCGTGTTAAAACCGGCTGCCATAGATAAGTTAGCACCAGCAACTGGGCGCGATCAGTGGACAAATCTTGTCGCGTTGCATGTTGTTGCCCGGTTCGCCTGCTGGCAATTGGAATGTGTTGTTGCTGCTGGCTCAGTGGCAATGAAGTGCATATTTTAATCACCAATGGCTGCCTCTGTGCAAGATAAGCAACGATAACGAGGCCAGTAGCTACAGGGTTGAGGGGGCCTGAGGAGCGGGCAAACTGAAGCAGCCCACGTGGGTTGGGCCCGCATCTTCAGGCCGGCTGCTGCCCACCTGCTGGCAAGTTCAAGTACTTGAGCTCTCTTTTAATTACTCAGCTGTATACACACATACACACACATAGATGCACACACTCACTCCCAAATACACGCGCGCACACTCTGAAAGGCGTGCACAAAGACATACAGTGACTCAAATTAGTTGAACTACCAATTGTCTACAAACATTTAGCAAATGTTTGCCGTTGTCTCAATGTACTTTCATACATATACCCAAATGTCTGCGGTAGCAACACCTTGTGGCACATATGCAAGTCATTGGCAACAACACAACCCCCCCCTCTCCCACCACCTACCATCACACCCTTGCTGCTGCTCCCCTTTTGTCTGCTGCTGCTGTTGTTGCTTTTGTCTGCCTGGTAATTTAATGCAAATAAATTTTATTTACCAAAACATACATCAAAATGTCTGCGCCAGCACACCTCACACACCAAGCTCTACCCCCCTTGGATTGCATGCAACTACATGTATCTGTATGTGTGAGTGTATTTAGTACAGCTTATGCACGTTAGATGGCGTGCAGAATGCAAATATTATTTTAGCTTTTGGCGTCTTCGTTGGGGCCTTCTGCGAATGGTGTTAAAACGCATGCAAGTGGTAACCGACCTGCGTCCCGTATACCTTCACTACCTCCCCTCTCTCTCCTTTGGTACCATACCATCCGCACCACCTTCTCGTTGCACGCCCAGCAGCCGTTGGCCGCCGGCTGTCGCCGTCTGTCAACGTTTAAATTGCTGCTTGGCTGCAAATAAAAATTGCGTGCTTAGGTGGGCGTAGCTGACATGCCACACCTACCAAGTTTGCCAGTTGGTCTGCCTCTATCTCGCTCTCGCACTCACACACTCTCTCACAGTATGTGCGTGTGTGTATTTGCTGCTTCTGTTGTTTGTATTTATGCAATGACTCCCAAGTTGTTGCTCGTTTGTTCAGCTTGAAAATTAATTTCTATAATGGCTGCCAAGAATTGCAGCTGCATTAGTTGCCCCCACCAGTCCACCCCTTTTGCGAGTTGGTTATACCATAAGGTACGTGACGTGCCTGCGCTTTGCAATTAGTTAAATTATAGAGCCCCGTCGCTGGAATTTTAACTGCATGTGAATGTAAATCAATTGCAAAACTCTCCAAAGCAAAAAGCCATGACGAAAATCGGCTGAGCTGACCCGAGACGGCCACACAAACTCCAATTTCACCTGTGTATTCACTGTGTTCCTGTGTGTTCCCTAATCGCAGCCCATTTAAGATGCCAGCCTGTGGTATTTCATTTAATTGAATGGGCCATGAAACAAACATGAAACTAGCGCCGCTGATAAAGCCCAGTTCAGAGCAAACGCACGGCTACCGTTTGCCTAGCCGACACACAGATACAGATACACAGATGCAGATACACAGATACAGCTACATTGCCCAAAGGCACTAAGTACCTAACACTTGACATAATGCGGCAACAGATAGCGGCACAGGTCACACGAATATAGACAGAGACATAGAAAGAAAAGATAGAGATAGAGAGAGAGTGAGAGAGAACAAAGGCAGTAACCTGCTCCGCTAATGAGACCTGCTGAGGATGGGTCCAAGCCAGGAAAAAAACAGCTGCCGAAATGAAATAAAGTTGTATATAAAGTAGTATAAAGTAGCTATGTGTGCGTGCGTCTGCGTGTGTGTGTGTGTAGCTGCAGTTGACAGCAAATGACAAAATAGGCGGCAAATGTTTGAAATAGTTTTTTGTTCTTCTTATTGTTGTTGTTATTGTTGCTGTTGTCGCTTGTCAGTTTAAAAATAATTTGATTTGGCTCTTTAAAGAGCTTATAGCTGCATGACTGAAGTAGGTATGTACATATGCATATATTTAAATGATTTATTAAAGAATTTTAAATGGGCCTATTAATAAGAATATTATTTCTTGTTCCTCTATATCTTTCAAAAATTCTCAACAATCTAATTATTATTATTTTTAATTATTATTATTATAAATATTATTATTTTAATTATTATAAATATTTATATTTTTATTGTTATTATAATTAATTATTTCTGATGTAATTTATAATTTTAGAAGAGTAAAATTTTAAATATTTTATTTTACACTTAATATGCTATTATGATTTTTATTATTGCAGAGCTTGCAGCCGCAATTCAAATTGACCCTTTAACACATGTAATAAAATGGGACTGACGAAGTATTCACAATGTCAAGAGTTGCGCAATAAAAACCATTTTTATTTTAATATTCTTATAACGCTTAGTTTATGGACTTTAATTGTTACTGTTTGCAACACAGCTGTCCAGCTCGTAAAGTACTTTTAATTTTTTGGTTAATTTACTCAAATGATTTCTAATTTTTGTTTTATTGCTTAAAATTATTTTTTAACGTTCATTTTGAGACGTTCACAGCTGCATTCATATGTTAATTGTTATAGGAGTAATTTGTGTATTGGGTCTCAAATGCGTATGAAGAAAAAACCAATATAAAAATGTGTGGCGCCTCTTATGGGCGTCTGCCCCTTGACAGCTTTATAAAATAATGCAGCAGCAACAACAACCACAACAACAGAAGCAAGAAAAACAACCTTATGTTATTGCTATTGCGGGACGGAAATGCAAAGTTCGCGATAGGTTTTTTGCCCCAACGTGTAAAGTTCACATGTCTGTCAGCCGTCGGAGTTTTTGTCCTGGGACTGGTACCGTGCGGACTGCAACAAGGTGTAACCAACGGCGTTGCAAGTGTTGCAAGTGCCTGGTCACTTTTTGTCCGATGCCGGAAAATGCAAGAAAAGTGTGAACTGTGCATGCAGATACAAATCGGCCAGAGCTGCCAGACTCGCTTCAATTAGTCTGGTCAGTCAGTTAAGTTCAGTTAAATATATATACACGTGGTATACTTGTGCTGGGGGGCTGACATAGACCGGAAAACACCAAAAAAAATTGAAAAAAAAAAAAAATTAAAATGAAATGCAATGAATAAGCAGACGGGCCAATTGACTTAAATCAAAACCGACGCGACACCAACAACGGCAACAACGGCAACAACAGCAACAACAACAAATGATAGTATTAATGTTCTGGATGATACGAGTAAATGGTCAGCGCAATCAAGAACATTTCATTGTTTTATTTGAAGCGACGGAATAATTGCCACGCACTTTGACTACACCACCAGACAGTGGGGGGCTGTGACAGAGAGGGACTCCACCGCCCGCAGCTTCGATGGCCGTTGGCAGCCATTGTCGCATTGTCGTTGGTGCCAATTAGGGCGCGGGTCAGTTTAATTCAATCAAACTATGTGCACACACATACACACAACCAACCATACACACACATGCATACCCATACACAAAATGGAGGTAGGCCTTGAATGCGATCAATTACTATCTAATACTAAATTGGATAGTCTATAAGCTGAAGTAAACGCTGACCGACATCTCAATCAATTATATGCAAAATATCAATTCATTGGTTTAACTACAGCAAATTGCTTAATTTTTTTTTGTCAAGATTACAAATCTATTAAGACTGGATTTGAAGATTAATCAATAAGCTTACATATCAAATGTAGAAATTGCAAACATGCAAATAGCAGAAAGTCATACAAAATTCACCAAGGAGCCCAAAATAAAAATTATTCATTGATTTTGGGACTTGTGTGTATTATTTTGCATAAGTTCAATTGGCACATGCTAAGCAATGTCACGTGCCAAGTTTAAAAATATTTTGTTTATCATTTCTAAGGAGTTTGTTAGAACTTACTTTAGTAAATATTCAAATGTTTTGCAATATGAGTATTTTACAGTATGTGTGAGCTCAGCCTAACTTGTGTCTTTTTTATGGATAACATGTTTGTTCTCCATTATTATGTCGTATATCTCTGTCAAACCAACACCAAACATTTTTCGTTTACCCAAACTTAATCAAATAGTTAAGAGTAATTTTTTATGGTTTAGATTTAATTGACACTCACCTCCACCAAATCCTTGTCCCGGGAACAAGCCTGGTCCAAAGGTTGGCATTTGACGTGCGCCCGGCCATGGCACTCCGCCGCCCATGCCGCCCCAGGCAACCGCTGCGGCGGCCAGAGCGCTGAATGGCGTTGGTCGTATGGGCACGTGTCCGCTGGCGGCCAAAGCCGCTGGAGAGAGAAGAGTGGTGGGCATTTGGCCGGAGCCTGGTCCAGAGCCTGGTGGCCCGCCGTGGGAGCCTTCCAGCGATTTGCTGCTGCTGTCGAGGCCATCAGGCGTGGAGCGCGGTGAGTCGTCGGGATTCATGTCTTCGATGTCCACAATGGAGTCCTCCTCCTCATCGTGCTCCCCATCGTGTTCATGCAGCATATCGTCGTCGTATTCCAACTCGGAGTCCGTGTGGCTGCTGCCGCCCAGCGGCGAGTGTCTTTCGTTTTTGGCAGGTGTGGAGCTGGCGCCGGCTGCGTGCGCCACTGGTGTTGAGCTGGGCGTGGAGCTGGCGGAGGCCGAAGCGGGTGGAGAGCTGGCACGCGCATCTGCCTGAGCCTGACGCAGTTGCGCAATGGCCAGATGCTGCTGCTGATGATGCTGCTGCTGTTGCTGGGCGTGTGCTGCCGCCGCCACATGCGCGGCATGCAGCAAGTGGGCGTGATGAGCAACGGTCGCGGGATGAAATGCATGCGTTGGCGGCACCGCTGGTGGCGCTGCTGGCGGAGGAGTGCCCGCGGCGCTGCTCTGCGAGATAGGCGATGTGGCTGCGGAGCTTGACAGATTCGTGGGTCCATCGCTGGTGTTGGGTGTGCGCGGTCTTGTGTCCGCCAGCAGCGAAGCAACGCTAAAGTTGCTCAGCCTGGAGCTGCTCTTGTGCAGATGATGTGGCGCCGGGTGCACTGCAGCCAACTGCAGTGCCTGCTGCTGCTGTTGTTGATGTTGCTGCTGCTGTTGTTGATGCTGCGCCAGCAAATGCTGCTGGTGAGCCAGCAGCAATGCCGACGGCGATGTTGGGCTACCCAGCGGATGCAGTGCACCAGTGCTGGCGGCGGCAACGGCGACGGCGGAGGTCAGCGTGCTGCTCAGGTTGCTGTTGCTGCTGCCGGAGCTGCTGAGCGATGTAGTTGGCGGCACCGTCGGGCTGGTCATCGTTTGGCGCAGGCCAGTCACTGTCATACTCCTGTTCCTATTCGTGTTCCTGGTCGTTGCTGCGCTCGTTGCGTTCACGTTAACGGTGTTGTTGGAAAGCTTTAACATAAAGCCAGCGATTCGCAGTTGCTAAAAGATTCACTGTCCTATCTCTTTTGGATTTGATTAAATGTTGATTGTTGTTGCTGTTGGTTTTTATTAAAACATTGCACTGGCGAGAGAAGTGCGCGCGAGTTCAAATTGGCACTTGTCGGGTCGCTCAGTGGAAACTATATGTGTCGTTAATTTGTGTTGATTATCTTTTAATTAATTCGCTCGTTCATCACATACACTCACTAATACACACGCACCCACTCACATGCACACGCACGAACGCGACCTGCTCATTTGCTATAGTATGTGGCGTTTAATTCACGTTGCGACTCTGTTCGGCGGCTCTGAGACTCGAGAGAAACACGTCCTCCTGAGATCACGTCTGTTCTACAACTGAACGCAGGCGGCGGCGCAGCCCCAGCTATGCTGCTGCTGCTAGGCACACTCAAACAAACACTCGCACACACACACATATGTGAAACCTGCACTTTGCTGGCAGTGGTGTTGGTTTTGGTGGTGGCTGATAAACCGGCCTGGCGCAGCTCTGGCGCTCTCTCACTTGCACTCACTGCTCAAGCGAATGCAGCGACACCATTTTTATTGGCCTAACTGAAGCGATACAGCTCTCTCGCACAGCATTTTATTTTATTTTTCTTATTTACCTTTTGTTGTGTTTCTTGCGCCGCCTTCTTTTCTACCGCTGTTCAATTCCAGTGTGGTGAGTTTTGTGTTCGCAACGCAAGCGAGATGGCACCATTGTTAATAGGTGCAGTCTTTGGCTGTCCCGCTCGCACGCCTAATTATTATTGAATAATTCAATCTTCAAAGCGTTTTTGCTGCGCGTATTAGCATTTTATAACAAGCAGCCGCCGCAGCCACCGCAGCCGTCGCTTGTCCGTTTCTACTTTGGGCTTTTTGTTGCTCTTTCCCCGGTTAAACGCCGTCTCGCTCTGACACGTCACAGCTTCCACATTCATGACTTCATTTGCCTGCCGCCTGCTGCCTGCCGCTTTGCCGCTTCTTATTAAATTCTGCTGTCAGCGTAATTGGCGGCCGCGTCGTCGCGCTGTCTGCTTATGTTTTGGAGTCTCGGTTTTTCCGTCTTTGGAGCTAAGGGAAAATTTAATTGGTGCTCCAATCGAGCGCACTCGGCGTATGGGCAATATTTTCATAAACGACCCACCGCTGCCCGAACATCAGTTTTCATACACTCCTACAAACATCATATAAATAATAAACAATGAGCCCATCATTATGATGAAAGGCGAAATCATCGACGACGGCATCTTATCACAAAGCTGCAATCTCTGCCAGGAAATTATGTTTTTTATCCCTCTTCTGCTCGAAAAGAATCTTATGTTGTCAGCCCAAAAAAAAAAAAAAAAAAATATAAACAAAATTTATGTCTATGGCGCACACCTCAAAGATAAACCATAAAATTCTTATCGTTACGCATAAATCGAGTAGCCGGCATGGCAAATCAATCACACGTAAATCTAAAATATGCAGCATCCCGAAAAAATGAGCAATTCTTCTTCCCCCCTAGCCCAGCCCTCCAGTAAGCGACAACAATAGGTTTCCCAGGATAAGGATAAGGATAAGCCAAACTTTGGGGTTCATTATATATACTTAATAGATGGCACAAGAGGCAGCTAACTTCCTGTTCTGCTCGCTCACTTTACGTTTCTTTTTCCATCTCGCTTACACACTTTTTGGGTTTGTGCCTTTCTCTTTCTCTCCTTCTCTCTCCCTCTCTCTCTCACTCCCTGGTTATAATTTTACTTTACAAATTAAACTCATTTTAAGGATTATTATGTGAACATTTTTGGCTCCAAAGTTTTGCCAGCCATTGTTGTGGCGCTTTCATGTTGGGGGCCAGTAGGATTTTCTCTGAGGCGCTGCTTGGGGTTAATGATGGGCGAATATTCCTGCAGGAGGTTTTTTGGGATTGGAAGTATATTTAATGAAGCTGCTTCTGGGGAATTATAAACTCAATTAAGCAGACAACTATTTTATTTCGGAATATAGATTATCAATATCGAAGTTTTTCTATTTTAAGGTATTTACACTTAGGTTGACCTCGTTTTGTCCACCATTTATAAATAAATATTATAAATTCATAGCATTCTTGCACGATATATAACTAAAAGAATATCACATCTATACGCTTCTCAATAGATGAAACAATAGATATACATAAATATTTTATTCAAGGTTATAAACATAAAAATGCCTTTTACACATAACTCATGTATCTCTATATATATAAAACTGTTTGTCCTGACTGACTGACTGACTGACTAATTGACTGACTAATTGACTGACTGATTGGTGATCAACGCACAGCCCAAACCGTAAGAGCTAGGAAGCTGAAATTTTCACTGTAGCTACCTTATGTAATGTAGGTGCACGTTAAGGCGGGGTTTCGGGAAATTCCACCCGCAAGTGTGGAAAAATCGCAAAAAACGTTTGTATGTAACTTTTTTGTTTACCATCCGATCGCCCTCAAACTTATTTTCAAAGATCTTTGCTCAAATTCATTTAAGGGGTGTTTCACACTTTTCGAAAAATCGGTTCCTCCTTGGTGGAAATGGAGGTCAAAAATTTGGTGGGTGACGTTTCGTCATACTTTCGTCATTTGTCATACCATGCTAAGATAATATAAAATATTTGCTAATGTTAGACACGTGCCACATAAATTAATTAAGATTGCAAATTAACATATGTATATTAACTATAACATATATATAAAAAATAACATACAATTAATCAACTGGTTAGACTCTAAAACATTCCAATATATTTAATCTTATTCTTTTACGAATTGTGGAGCACCTTCATTCCCATTGAAATTTGTGCCACCCTATACCATTCCGTTCCGAAACAAGTGACTGATTAAAACATTTTGATGCTGTCAGTAAAGCGCTTCATTAAAAACCAACAAGGCCGCTTTCTTTTCAATTAAAAATATTGAAATAACAAAAGGCGAGTGCGAGGTCTCATTAATATGGTTTTCTATACAATCGACTATATGTAGTTGGCCGTTGGCACGAACAATTATAGCCAATTACAAATATTAATTTCTCAGACGAAACGCGTCAAGAGGTTTTATAATCTTCATCATTATTCATTGCGCTTTGAAATACGCAAATGAGACCCGCAGCCAAAACGAGGCGCAAATTAATTTTTCAATAAACATCATAATCATATAGTGCTTATGAGCCGAGCGCTCTATGGTACGGACCGGCTGCCTTTCTACACCCCCGCCAACGGGTACGCCTCTAACCGCATTCAACGCCGTTCAAAGCTTTTTCTTTGCCGGCCAAAGATGAAACGACGCCGGCAGCGCAGAACGACTGCCAGCCAGCCAGATACAACAACAACAACGCTCGGCGGTCTGGGAAGTTGGTCAGTTGATAAATGGCCGTCGCGTTGGCCGCGCGGAGCCGCCGCATGTAAATGTTTTGATAGTTTTTCATAATTTTTTAAAATTTTTTTCTTCAATTTTGTAGCTTGTTTGGTTGGCTGATATTTGTGCTTGATTTTGTTTGCCGCGCGCCCACTTAGCCAAAGGCTCATCGGTGCGGGGGGCGGGCGGTTTGTCGTCAGGAGGTGGAGATCCAATTGCCATATGATGTGCGTGTCTGCAAGTGTGTGTGTGTGTGTGCGCGTGTGTGGGTGTTGCACATTTATGTGGGCAGTTAGCTTTTCAAATAGCCGCGACCGTCATCAATTAAACAAGATTGTTGTTTTAATGGCGCAATTAATTCATAATTAAATTGCGTAATTGCCTGATTAACAGTTCATTTTGATTGGCAATAGGCAATGGTTTAGCATTTAAAATAAACAGAACTGCAGAATGTATATTGGGTTCTTAAAGCTCATACTATTTAAGTTAGAAAAGCCGCAATAATTAAAAAAAAGTATTGTTCATTTTATGTATTATCAAAAACAATTATTATTATAAAAAATTAAATGCTATTTTCAGAAACTGATTATTATAGAATTTCATAAAATTAATTAACTGTTCTTAGTCGTATTTTTACAATTTTGACAATGTTATCTAATTATTATGTATTCAGTAAAATATATTAATTCAGATTTACTTCCTTGCAAAGTTAATGAAATTATTTCTTAATAATTAAACTTAGTCGAATAAAGTATCGCAACTCTTTTTTTAGGATAATGGATACCGCATTGAAGAGCGATTCATATTTGAGAGGCAGGAAGATAAAGTAAAATGAACTATGTTCAATTTTATTATATTAGATGTGAAAAGAGCGTTATAGCTACAATAAAGCATCAAAATGTGCAACCTTACTTAAAGACAAACAAATGCTTAAAGACAAAATATATCGATTGAGTGGTTGTGAAGATAAAAGAGAAAGAGCGAGCATAAGAGTGAAGAAGGTGAAAAGGTAAAAATAATAAGGACTGTAAAATGTTCACTTGTTTTTTATGAAAATCTCATAGAAAGACGATAACTTAAAACCTTTTCTAGTAAAACATAATGTTGGGAAAACTTGTATGCTATAATTAAGTATACATTTAAAACGTAGCACTTATAGTTTAAGAAAAAGTGCTTATGCCTTTTTGTAGTCTCTTATTTCACATTCACAAGGGTCACAGCTCAGAAATTTACAGATTCTACGTGTTCAATTCATTGGAATACATATCTCGGACCTTTCGCAAATATTCAATAGTTTTCATAAGAAATCGCATACATATGTTAGACAAACATATATTCATATTAAGGTCTTTAACAAGACAACTTAATTAGCAGATGACAAAGGCAAATCCCTCACGAGCTGAGGGCATCCAAATTGAATTACATACACACACTTGACACTAGCAGCGATAAATACGCCTCGTTTTGGCTAACAGAACCAGCCAAGCGGTACATAATCAAAATTTCATTATCCCTGCGATGCGTTAAATCGCTTAAACATGCTAAAAACGTGGCCACCCCTTTTGTCCGCCCAAAAACGAATCCCTGGCTGACGATGCCCCATTTGACGTGTTGACAGTTCTGATTTTGGCGCGGGGGATGCAGCAGGATGAAGCTGGTGCGAAATTTCAGTCAATAAACGTTATTGAGCCGAGGCATGTGAACAGCGAAGGGTCGCTGAGGCGGTTTCAAGTTTTGCTGTGGGGTGGTTTTCCATGCTAAGTAAATAAACCAACCCCCTCAGCACACACAAACACACACACATACAAACACAAATAGAATGCGGTTGTCAGTCAGTCATTTAGTCTCAGCGGCTGTTGTGGCAATTGCGGCTGCTTCTCGTATACGAGTAGACGAGTCGTATATAGCTAGCTAAACGGTTGGGTGTTGATGGCTAAAGGCTGCCAGGGACAGGGATAGCAGGAGCAAAGAGAGAGAGAGAGAGAGAGAGAGAAAGAGAGAG